TAAGAAAGAAGTTTACCCAAAAGGCAAGGAGGGCTGAGAAAAGCTGTGTGCTTACAGGTAATAGGCGGGCTTGCAAAATGTGCCCTTTAGACATTTAAAAGAATATACATTTTTTTGTTAACTGGTAGTACATGGAGGGGATTGTAATCATTACAATGAAACGAAGTATGATTTGTTAAATGTAAAACTGATAATCTGCCTTCTAAACCTTCACTCAATTTACAATAAAAAGGTTAAAAAAAAAAAAAAAAAGGCAAAGAAGAAGCTTCTCTCTGAAAAAGTCCAGCACTACAAGGAATATAGGCAGATATACAGCACTGAGATTCGATGTCAAGAAAAACAGCCGACTTCCATGGACCTGGAGAACCCAAGTTGGTATTTATTGTCAGGGTCAGAGCTTATTAATGGTGTGAGCCCAAAGGTTCAAAAGGTGTCACAGCTTCTTCACCTTTACCAGATCTTCAACCGCACCTCTGTTAAGCTCAACAAGGCTTTAGTTAACATGCTGAGGATTGTGGAACCATATAACGCCATGGGGGTACCCAAACCTGAAGTCAGTGAACGAACTGATGACAAAATCGGATAAGAAGTGAATGGCCCTGACAGATAAACAGTGAATGCACCATCTCTTGGTAAATATGGCATCATGTGCATGGAGGATCTGATTCATGAGATTCACACTGTTGGGAAACATTTCAAAGAAGCCAATAACTTCCTGTGGCATGAAGAAAAAGACAGGCCATTTTGTAGAAGGTGGAGAGACTGGCAACAGGGAAGATCGGATCAACAGTCTTATTAGAAGGATGAACTAAGGTGTCTACCATGATTCTTTCTGTAATCTGGTCAGCTAATAAAACACTAACTGCTTTCAAATTGAAAAAAAAAAAAAAAATTAGAAATAGGTATAGAAAGTGTGATGGTAAGTAAAAATGGGGAAGAGTAAATAGATGGTCCTGAGTGCTTTAGATAAATTTCCAAGTAAATTTTAGTTTCAATCTGCCCACAAGAGCATTAGAAGAGGCACATGGAAAGAGCTAAGTAAATCTAGGTTTTGAGGGACTTGCCTCTAACAAGAAAAAGAACAATTATTTGTAGCGTTATCATGAGTCTAAAATATCCAACTTGTCTTTTGTTGGTCACTTAGCAGTAACAAAGTTACATTGAACAGTAATGTATACCCACTGGATTTTCTGTTATTTTATGGAAGGTTGTATTTTGAGTTAAACTCTATATTTTCTGCTCAAGCAATCTATGGTAATTGGAGGTTCATTTTTATGCTTGTTGTTATTTCTAATTTTTAACAGGTTTGCATTTTTAAGAAAAAAAGACAAATAGTGAATCCAGTTTTGATCAACTTTAAGGCAAGTTAGACCAAGCATCTTAGGCCATACATTTCAAATCACCTGACAGCAATTTCTACAACAGCAGAAATCCTTCCTAGGAGGAAATAAACTGGCAGCAATCGAGCGCTAATTCTCAAACACGTCCATGGCCCCTACACTCTTTTTTATCAGCACTTCGGTGCCCCCCACGAGAGAGAGAAATGCTGCCATTTAAGAGCTGCTGCTGTTTACTTGAGCCCAGGAGAACCTTTTCAAAAGACAGCATCACCCCAGTTGGCATGCTCACCTAATGAATGGCGCTCTAGACTTCCCATCGTCATCTAATTCGTACAGTGAGTCTGCTCGCAGGCCATCAGCAACAATCAACACCAATCTTCTTGCTGGAGGGGGCAATGGTGTGAACTGAGGAGTCATCCCATGAACCAAAGGGGACGTAAAATAAATGTCAAAGATGGAGGCGAAGAACACCAGATGTACAAGAAGCCCCAAGACAAAAAACACCAGCATATCCAGGGTTGCTCATTAACCTACAAGAAGCAAATCAACAAAAACTGAACGCCAAACACAATTAAATTAAATCTGGGTACATCTTAATGCAATTATATAGAGAGCGCATATTTTGATGACATACAAATTGATTTTATCTTTTTAAGTATTCATGATTCACAACTTCACTTTCATTTGTTGTGGTAAGAAAAAACATTCTTTTATAATAAAAGGTAATACTGAAATGGTAAGACACCCAAGTGATGAAAATAGAGACAAAAGTTCAGGTATATGTAAGCAATTGTTGTTGTTGTTGTTGTTATGTGCCGTGGAGTAGGTTCCAACTCACAGCAACCCTACATAGGGTTTCCGAGGCTGTAAATCTTTATGGGAGCAGAATGCCTCATCTTTCTCCCGTGGAACAGCTGGTAGTTTTGAACTGCTGTCCTTGCGGGTCACAACTACACTACCAGATTTGTAACCACTACACTACCAGAGCTCCTTATGTAAGCAATTAGGAATACTATTCATAATAAATATTAATGCATAAGAAGGGTATAAAAATATCCATTGGATCAAAGGACCCAAAAAGCATTGTCAGACCTAAAATAAAAGAAACAGGAGAAAGATTAGGCTTTCTGGTTCCTTAAAGATTTACAGCCTCAAAAACTCTATACAAGGTTGCTATGAGTCAAAACTGACTCAACAGCACCTAACAACAAATAACAACTACAAAACAAAGGGTTAAGCATTTGACTACTAATTACAAGATTGACAGAAGCACCTTGGAAGAAAGGCCTGGTGATCTGCTTCTGAACTGTCACGACCTTGAAAACCCTACACAGGACAATTCACCTCTACACACAAGGGATTACTATGAGTTGAAATCAACAAGTTTGGTTTCGTTTTTTAAAATAAGTGAGGCTGAGTCAAATAAAATTCTGCATAAAATTCAAAATATAACTCATTCTTGGTTGCTCATATGCCAACTGGAGCTATGCTACAGCTTTCTAAATTATTTAAAATATCTGTGGATTCACCTTTTTCTTGACACTTGGTAATCAGTTCTAAGGGCTTCTGGTGGCCCCAAAGATTAGCTATTATCCAGCCTACTCTTGACCATCATTCTGTACAGGGTTTCCAAAGAGCAGAGGGTGAGTTTGAACCATCAACCTTTACAATTCAAACCAATCTTGCAGTCAGTGCTTATCCTACAGCACCACACCAAGACTCCTTTTGAGGAGCCAGCACTTACAACTCTTGACTATCACTCAATTGAGCATGTAACGTGTTTTGCTCGTTTATGTAGCTGAATCATATGGAGGAAAAACAAGCATCCACTGCACTTCAAAAATTCACACTCATCATCACTTACTTTTAGTTCTGAGAGAGTCGTGGATTATGAGCTGGGCTGCTAACCGCAAGGTCAGTAGTTCAAATCTACCAGCCACTCCTAGGGAGAATGATGAGGACCTTCTGCTCCAATAAAGACTTCTTCTTGTTGTTGTCATTAAGTGCCGTCGAGCTGGTTCTGACCCATAGCAACCCTGTATGGAGTTTCCAAGGAGACGCTGGTGAGCTTGAACCACCGACCTTGCAGTTCAAACAGCTTTGCAGTCTGGCACATTAACCCACAGTGCCACACCAAGACTTACAGCCTTGGAAACTCAATACATGGTAGCTGTAAGTCGGAACCAACTCGATGGCACACGACCACCACCGCCAAAGTAATATAATGAATCCTGGTGTGGCGCTGTCGAAGCAATAGACTGCTAACAACAAGCCTGGCAGTTAAAACCCACCGGGAGTAAAAATCTCAGAAGCCCGATACAGGGTCGCTATAAGTCAAAACTGGCTCTTTTATTTCAGTCCAGTGCTTAAACAACAGAGGCACACCAGGTACTAGTTAATGTTTAACATGGGGTAGTTTTCCTAGTAAAAGCTGCTTGTTAACCACAAGATCGGCAGTTCAAACCCACCAGCAGCTTTTACTAGAAAACCCTATACAGATTCACTATGAGTTGGAACTGACTCAAAGGCACTTATAATAACAATATGGGTACAATATGTATTTAACTGTAAGTATAAACTGTCCGTTAATCTGTCATTTCAGGAGCAAGAGCCCGTAGGACCGTTAAGAGGGAAGAGCATGAAAGGAACAAGGGATCCTAACCACAAAAGCAGAGACAACAGGGATAGTGGCATAGGCGATGGCACTGAGACAGAGCAGCAGAGGTCTATAAGCCCATATAGGCAATGTGGCTGTGAGCAAATGCTGGCTTGCAAAGCGTACCCTTTGGACATTTAAACGAATATATATTTTCAATGTGTACACCGTGGTGTGGGGCTGTGGGTTAATGCACTGGACTGCAAAGTAGCTTTGAACTGCAAGGTCAGCAGTTCAACCTCGACAGCTGCTATTCAGAAACCCTATACAGGGACGCTATGGGTCAGAATCCACTAGACAGCACATAACAACAAAAATAAAATGTGTACATTAAAAAAAAAAAAAGCATTAAAGGTAAATACTGTTAGCTGATGGTGCATGGAGGGGATTGTAATCATTGCAATGATTTGCTGAATGTAAACCAAATGAGCTGCCCTGTAAACCTTCACTTACTCAATTCACAATATAAGCTTTTAAAAAAAAAAAAGAAAAAAACTGTCCATGGTGCCTGGATCAGCACTCCAACACCTGAACACATCCCCGACACCACCTTCGACTGCCATCAAAGAACAGAGTAACAGACAGGGTTAAGCTTCGAAACTTGACGTTTGAAGAAGGGAACCACTGTCCAGTGTAAATACGTTCAATCTAAAAGACCGAACTTTCTGTACTGATTCCTGCAGGGGACCTGAGCAGGTCGTCCGACCTCTCTCTCTAGGGAGGGGGCGGAAAGGAATATTTTCAAGGGTCCCCGTATGTTATCTTACACGTTTATTGAGCGTCTATTCGTGCGTTGGCCGGTCGCGGGTCTCAAGGATCACAGAGGCCGGAACGCTCAAATCCCATTCTCCGTGCGCGGGGGGCTGATCTGGGGACCCCTAAGGACAGCATGGCGGAGGGGAGGGAAAGAAGGCAAGTTCTGACTCCTGTTCCAGACACTTGCTACCTGGACGGAGGACCGTCACCGATGAGCACCAAACACCAAGAAAGCTGAAGGGTTCGCGGCGCCAGGCCACACCGCAGCGCCCTAGCACCTGGACTTTCCCTGGAGTTCAGCCGAGTCACGCCAGACTCGGGAATGAGGCCTGTTCCGCGCGGAAGACCAAAAAAGCTCTCGGGCAGCACTCCTTTCGAACCCTCGAAACGCCAACCACAAGGGTCTCCCAAAACAGAACACAACCTTCCCGCCACCACGGAACGCCCCCAATTCCTACCGGTTCAGCCGCTGTTGTCGCGATACATCTAGGCAACCCGCCTCCATCCACCAATCGGGCATGAGTTAGGGGCGGGTTTTGCTTTTGAGCTGGGAGCGTGGGCTTGCACTCTGACTGAGAGAATGGGCGGGGATGAGGCGGGGCTACGGCAGGGGTGGGGCCGCAAGAGAGGCAGAGCACGCACGAAATCTCGCGGGACTGTAACCCTCGAAGACGGCTTTAGAGCCGGTTATCATCTGAAGCCCTGGGGTTTCACAGTGGAGAGAAACAGAGGGTATCGTTTATTGAGAAAAAAATGACAACTATTTGCAAGCATTCGTTTCTACTAAAGCTTTAGTAAATTGAAAATAAATCGTTGATACCTTTCTCTGCTATTCATAAGGTTTTCAGTGACTAAATGCATAGGGTCGTTATGAGTCGGTACCGTCTCTATGGCACCTAACTACAGTCAGCCAAACCCACTGCTGTCAAGTCCTACTCAATAGAATTCAATAATATATCAAAAAACTAACACATCGTGACCAAAACGGATTCATATCAGGGATGCAAGGAAGATTTAATATTAGAAAAACAGTCAACGTAACCCAACGAAGGAGTTCTGGTGGGGTGCTGTGGGCTATAGTCAGACTGCAAAGTCGTTTGAACTGCAAGGTCAGTGGTTCAAGCTCACCAGCTGCTCCTTGGAAACCCTCTACAGGGTCACTATGGGTCGGAATAGACTCGACGGCATTTAACAACAGCAACAATCTAATATATAAATAAAACAAAAGAAAAATAACCACATGATTATATCAACTGATACAGAACAAGCATTTGACAAAATCCGACATCCATTCCTGATAAAAACTCAACAAAGTACGGATTGAAGGGAAATTAAGAGCACATGTAAAGCATTGGACTGCTAACCACAAGATGGGTGGTCCAAACCCACCATCTGCTCCTTGGAAACCCTAAACAGTCGCTATGAGACGGGACTGACTGAACAACATATAAACCCAACAACCATCTTTACTCTCAGTGGAGAAAACTGTAAACATTCCCTTTGCCAACAGGAACCAGAAAAAGATGCCCTTTATCACCACTTCTACTCAATATTGTCTTGGAAGTCTTAGCCAGAGCTATAAGGCAACAAAGGGAAATTAAAGACATCCAAATTGTCAAAGAAGTCAAACCCTGTTTGCAGATGATATATGATCCTATACATAGAAAATCACAAAGACTCATAAAATTCTTGTAATTCATTGAAAGATTAAGCACAGTAGTTGGGTATAAGATTGATATACAAAAAATCACCTGGATTCCTCTATACTAAAAAAGGCAGCTCTGCAAAGAAAATTAGGGAAACAATACCATTTACAATGTTGTTGTTGCTAAGTGCCATTGAGTGTGTTCGGATTCATAGCGACACTGTATAATATTTCTGGACTGCAAAGTCAGCTTGAATCGCAAGGTCAGCTGTTCAAGCTTACCAGTTGCTCCTCGAAAACCCTCTACAGACAGGGTCGTTATGGGTCGGAACTGACTCAACAGCATTTAGCAACAACAAATAGTGTTTCCTAGGAGCAACTGGTGAGTTTGAACATTGATTTTAAACCATTCAGTATCCTCTTGTTCTGTTGGAACGACTGCTTCTTAGTCTA